AAATAAATATTTCTATTATCACGTATACCATATGATCTATGCTAAGTAAAAGCCTAACAGATTAAAAGAACAAGTACGTCGTACTTATAAACGAGAACAAGTACATCGGCCTATTGTAAAAGCAGTTTTCTCGTAGTTATTGTAAGAAGCACACTTAGAAATGACCTATGAATTTTTTATACTGAGTAAAGTGGATAACTGACAGCTTTCCACGAAGAAATTTTAAATACGAACATAAATGTGTGTGAAGCAAACTTCGATCACGATAAAATAAAAATACAACATTTAATGAGGTGCTTTGCAGAGTAGATTCGCTTATATGGTCAGACTATGGTCACAATAAAATATAAGAAATCATAAATGGCTCTCAAATCGTTGGCCAAGTAGTGGTTAATAAGCAAGTAATACAATATAATAGAAATACGTCGTAAAGATAAAAAGTGTCATCGCAAAGCGATTATAGAGCACGAGCCAACATGTAAAACGATAAGTTAATAGTGCATGCTTGCCAAAAATCCAGGCAAGATTACCTTGATGTCCAAGGGATAGTAGCCCAGACTGCTGGTTGAGATCCGTCGAACCGGAAATCGTTGAAGGCCTCTGATGGGGAAGAGATGAATAACCCTCAAGAGGAAATGCTGTATTGGTGGTTGTAACGAACTTTTCATCGGTTGCGCTAGTGGACAGAGACTGTGCTGTATCAGGTGCATTGCGAAGGTGATGAGGAGCCAAATTTATGATTGGACGAAGAGGGTAAGGAGGAGGCTGGCTGAAATGTAACATTGGAGAGTGGTGATGAGGAAACGTATTCAGAGGGTGAATTGGGAGGGGACGAATGTTTGGGATTTCTGTAGATGCTGAAAGAGCTGTATATGCTGCTGAGGTTGATGAGGTAGCGGAGACAGCTGTGAGGGGCGAGTATCGATAACCGGGCCATGGTGGAGCAAAAGGCGCCTGGACTGGTAGGGATACTGTAGCAGCAGATATAGTTGTTGATGGAGGCGGAAACGTTGGAATGGTTGGCATTCGGAGTAAGACGAAAGCCGGAGGAAGTGACCTATGTTTGATGTTATGTTGAGACGCAGATAAACAAGTAAGGCCTGGTGAAAGTAAACTTTTCGAGTGGAAGAAGAAATAGGCCACTTTGGAACCCAAGAAAAATGGTTATGTTTAGGTAAAGACAATACAAATAGTAGCAAAGGTTCCCATTAATTCAAAGACAAATAGCACAAAATAGGCTTAGTACATAACTCAAGATTTCTTAAATAGAACACATCGCAAATTCTTTCCGACCCACTTTCCCTTCGAAATGAAGAGCCATGCCAAGTAGAACTATTTTCGAACTAATTTGAGACTTGATCAAGTGATAAAAGA